TGGAAATGGTTTGTTGCTTGTGTAGAAAACATCCTCCTGGCCCCAATGAGTCATTTTCTGATATCTGAAATGACTCTTTCTGTTTCTATACTTAATTTTGTTTTGCAGCTTGATGACAATGCTAATAAGGAAAAAACTGATACTGATAAGAACATGGCCACTATGTTTGATATTCTGAGGAGGAAGCGCAAAGTCATGCTCGAAAATTTGATAGAACAGGAACTCTTTTGCGCAGACTGTCGAAAATCTATTTGCTTTGTCCTTTCTGATAAAAGATGGACGAGTTGAGTTATCAGTAGATGGCGCTGGATGTCATCTGGTTTGTAAGTATCTTTTCTGTGTGCTTATTCTTATCTGCTTTTATTTATTTCTTCCTTTTTTATAGCTATTCCTATCTATTTTAATATCTATTTTATTTACTAATTTCAGCCCCAAGGAATGCTCCTAGTGCAAGTGCAATTCAATCTGGGAAGGCCACTTACAGCCATTTTATATTCAGATATGATTTTAGAGACTGGAAGGTATTCATGCATGCATTGAGTCCCATTTTTTCCAAGCTTTTGAAATGTCGTCTATTTATACCTTCTCTCATTTTCCAAACGTTGACAACTGAGTCTCTGGACTCGACCTATGTATTGTTCTTGGTCTTTTAAATTTGAAAGTTCTTATCTTTTTCCTTTTTTTGAGACATCTTTCAAATTTACATGATTATACAATTAGATGCAGGGTCAAAAAATTTAAATGTCCCATTTTTATTTATTCGATCTAAAATGTTTTTAGTAATTATATCTACAGTGTTCAATAAATATCTTAACAATTCATGCAAAATGTAATCTTGCAGTCAATGCTGACTTCAGTTGAAGCTGGAGAAGAACTAATGCCACATAGAACTGAGGTGCACGAAACAAGTAACCCCCAGCCCGAGCCCGGGCCTAATGAAGCTCATGCAGCCCAGCCCACAACACCCATAAGGAAATTATGCAGGAATCGAGGCTTGGTTATGCAGGAACAAGACTTAGTTGCAGATTCTCCTGAAAGTTACGATACAGCTGCTGCTAGAGCTGCCGCCATTCGCAAGGGAAAAAGAAAACTAGCATGAATTGTCTGTTCTACCCCTTGTAAGCAGGATGCCTGCTTTAGAGTTCGATGATGAAATTATAGTGATTTGCGAAGTTTTTAGGATTTAGTTTATTTGTGCACTGGATTTGGCAGGCCACTCTCTCCATGGTTGAAGAATGCTGTGCACGGAGTATTCATTATGGATTTTGCAAAGATAATTGTTTGATATTCTAGTTTCAGCTGTACATAATTTGGCATGTTGTTTTCAACTCTTATGTTTGAATTGTTGTGTTGGATTTTAAAAGTGATAATTTTGTTGATAATTTGCTCAAGATGGACTCGAGTATCAGAAATTATTTAAAATGTATTAATTGTAGCGTGTTGCTGTAGTACACTTGAACTAGACTAAACTAATAGTATGGAGTTCTCCAAGACTAATTTGTGGGTAAAAAATAAAAATACACATTATATGGTTATCTTAATTATGTGCAACAGAAATGGACTCCTTGACAAGTGGTATAGGAAGCAAAACGAAGCCATGCACCAAGTTTTTCAGGTTCAGTCTCAACCTACCTAATATTAAATTTTAATTTAATTAAATGTTCATTGGTATGAATCATGGAAAATTGTAATAGAAGTTACTAATAATTCTGTGATTCAACAAAGAAAATCTCTCCAGCTTATAGTCTTCAAACAAACAAAAAAAAACAAAAAAACAAAAAAACAA